CGCAGCCGCCTTGACGGCCGCTGCGGTCTCGTGTCTCTCTCGGTCCACCTCGCGTTGCGGGTGTGCTTTCTTCCGTATTGTCCAAGCGGCGACTTTCCTCACATCAATCCACCTCTGCAGAGCTCGGTTCTTGCCTGTGGTGTTTTGACGGAGGGTGCAGCACTCCCTCCCCGCGATGCCCGCGGTTGTCTCCCTTCTCCCGCGAGAGGTGCTTACTGATGTGGTGTTTACGAATCTCTCTACTCCTCCAGCTTCGTGGGTCACGCTTTCCGCGACGGTGGTTGCCAGGTGCATTTTGCCGCGTTGCATAACTGCCGCGGGAACAGTGTCCATACCCACCTCTCGCCACTACCACCGTCTGTGCATCCTCACTGCCACGCTGAGCCAGCGCGGCGGTGAGTTGCACCTTGGGACACCACCCGCCTACTATCTGGTGTGGCCTGGTTTACGTCCTTGACGGCGGGGGCGGCGGCGGTGCGGCATCGGCCGCAGGTACGGCGGCGGCCGGCGAGGGCGCCGCGGTGACCGAAGAACCCCCCCCGATGGCCGGCACCGGCGCCGGCGCTCCTGCCCGGCGGTTGACCCACACGACGTTGTTGGTGAGGGCGAGGCGACCGGTGTCAGCGNGCCGGCGCCCCTGCCCGGCGGTTGACCCACACGACGTTGTTGGTGAGGGCGAGGCGACCGGTGTCAGCGCGAAGAACAACGGCGGTAGTCGTTGAGTGGTTCGTGCCGCCGTGCAGGTAGAAGCACCGCGCCGATTGGACGTCCGCCTTGGTGGCCCGCTTCTCGCGCATCATCCCCTCCTGGAAAAAGAGACGACGGTGAGGGGCGGCTTCCGGCCGAAGAACGTCTCGAACGGCGACATCCAGCCCAGGTTGGCCTTCGTTGCGGAGCGGTTGAATCAGGCGGATGCCCACAGCGCCGACGCGAGCCACAGGCGATGTCCGTTGACGCCGATGTTGGGGATGGAAGAGAGGTCGACGTGGCCCATGGCGAGGATGTGGCGGCGCGCGGCGTGACCCCCCTTCATGGCGAGCCATACGGCGCTCTCGACCACCGCGTTTTGCTTGGAGGCGTCGGGGGCGGTGTACTCGCGCCAAATGCCAGCAGCGCAGCAGAACGATGTAAACGCGGAGCCGGTGAACTCGCCGCCGTTGTCCATGCGGAAACACCCCGGAGTGCCGATGCCGTTCATGTCGGCGAGGAACCACTGCACGAACTTCAGGGTGTAGCTCTTGGCCCGCATCCCGTACCCCCGTTGCCACCGCGATGCGCTGTCCACGAACATGATCAGGTACCGGGAGCCGTCCAGCGCGTCAGAGGACGGGCCCGTGAGGTCGACGTGGACTTTGCCGAACGGTACCGCCGCGTGGGTGCCACGCCGCGGCACCGGTGCCCGCCCGTCCTTGGCCTCCACGCAGCCCACACACGGCTGCATCTCCCTCACCAGTCGTACGCCCTGCTGCTTGGCCGTTTCACGCATCAAGAATTCGTTTACATGGCCGGTGGAGGCATGGAACAAATTAATATCCATGGTGGGCGTGGATTTTCCTACCGAAAATGGGGAAGGACCGGGGGCGATCATCGCCAAGGCATGCGAGTGGGAGGGAGGAGCTACGGTGTGCTGCTCACTGCATCCAGCAACAAAACCTCTGAGGCAATCCAATCCATCACTCATCACGGCAAACGCGGGGGGAGGGGGGGTTGCAGAATCGCAAACGTTAAGCGCATCCGGAAAAAAATCACCCTGTGGGATCGAGTCTATTCCATCCATCAGGCCTACATCAAGGAACATGCTCATATCCATGGGAGGCAAATGGTCCTGGGGGGGTGAGGGGGTTGGTCACGACGTCAAGAAAATCGCTCGGGTCCACGACGTAGGGAGAAACAATCTCAGATGATGCTACGGCAGCTGTGATTACAGACTGGTAGTCGGCAATAGTCGTTGGCACTACATGTACGTCGATGGGCGGGAATGCACGGCGCGGAAGCACTACAACGGACGTGGTTGATGAAACGCTCGAAGTCGCACTCGCAGACGAAGGTACAACACCGGCAGCGACTCCGGTGGGCTGGACGCCAGAAGTCGAAGGTACAACGCCGGCTGTTGCGACGGACTGGAAACCGAAATTCTCACTCGCACTCGAAGTCGTGCCCTCCCCTGCACTCTGTGGGAAAGGGGGATTTGCCGCGGCAAGGCCTGTGCCAATGCTAGGCGGGGAGGCTTGTGCAGAAACACAGGGGGGGGCATCGGGGCTGTAGGTCACAGCACTACCAGTATACTTCGGAGGCAAGCGGGTGGCCAACAGGGAACATTCTACGTCGGAGTAAGCAAAGGTAAGCCTACCACTGAAGAGGTGCACACCATGTTCGCCCAACGTGATCTTCTGCCTACGCTGCGTATAGTGCAGGAAAAACAGGTTGAATGTGATGCCGGGGGCTACGTACACGTCCGGCATCTGTACACAAAAATCGATCTCGCCCGAAGGGCCGGGCATGTGGAACGCCATGTTTACCTTTCCAACACATTGCACGCGCAAATAGGCACCTTTACCTACTTGGATGTACTGCTTACCGGGCGGCACTGGCCTCAAGTCGAACAGTTGATGGGTGCGGCTTACAACCGTGTTGGTGGCGCCGCTGTCGGCCCGAAATCTCTCTCTGCAAAAATGCGAAACCGGGTTTCGTGCAGCCAAAGCAAATCCTCTACCACTATCACGCTCGTTACTTCCTACTCCGACCGCCACCTTTGCCGTCCTGTCCGCCGTCGTTCCCACTCGACCCATTTTGGGCACCTCCATCGCCCCGGGGTGCACCGGAAGCGACGAAAGCGTGCCCCACGCCACTCGTCTGCTCCTCCTCCCGGGCGCGCACGCGATCCCCATAGGTACTCCTCAAGCCCTCTCGATCGTCTGCCGAGTCAACACGTCGTCAGCATTCTCCTCTCTACATCATAGTCGGACGACGGGTTGAAAACCAAGTGGCTGTTCGCATCATCTGAAAAAATCACACCGTATGAGGCTAGTCTATTTCGCAAAACAGGAAACCTTCCGAAAAACTCTTGGGGAGTCTCTCCTTTCTTCATCCTAATGCCGTGATAGTCTGACGAAAGGCGTGTCATTTCTGCCCAAGCTTGGGGCTCGTAGTACTCGAGGAAGATTTTCCACCCTCTACTCGGGCTACCATCTGAGATGATTTGGACCAAGATTGGCAAGGCAAGAAAGTAACCGTTGTGATGAGCAAGTTCCACACCGCTATTGCCTTGTTCATCTTCTGCTCGCCATACTGTGTCTTCAGTCGAGCCATGTCTACTCCATCTTTTCCTACATGAATATCCTCGTCACTCATCATGACCTCGTATACACCTTCCTGCGCAAATATTGCAAGCATGTTCGACATGAAAATCAAAAGTTTAGCCTGCTCATCCTCCCCTGGCTTGAAATTGCCGTCCCAAGGCTCTAGCCTCCTAGTCTCAGTCATGCGCAAAGTCCCTACATGCGGTACTCTACCGAAATCCCCGGATGTGCTCTGGAGACGGCCAGTCACGGCGTTGGCGATCGCGTTGGCGATGTTGTCGGCGGAGGGGTTGGGCGATGGGCTCCCCGCGTGTTGCGGTAGATGTGCCCCTTGTTGCTCGTTCCCGCTCCGGATGTCATCTGTGCGTCGCTGCTCGTGTCGTTGTCGTACCTCCATCTCGGCCAGCCTGACTGCTAGCCTCTGGTTCACCATCTCCTCCATCCGACCCTCCTCAGCTGCTGCTTGGTCTGCTCGGCCGGCGACGTCGCTCTCGCGCCCGTGTTCGCACATCGTGATCCTGCTCCTGATCGCCGCAAGGCGATACTCCTAAACTAAGTTCGACCGCGAATGTCGCAGACGACGTGTCATACGCTAGCGTGACCGATAATTCGGGTGGCTCAGTTCTGTTTGTTGGGAGTGTAGAGCAGCTCGGCCATGACGGGCCGTAGATGGGTAGAAAACGTGGTGGTAAACGTATTGTATTCTTCGGGGGCGTGCTCGCGCTCGTAAATCTGTCACGGCATCAAGCACGCGTCACGCTCATCACGCTCAAATTACCAAACGGATCTCTCTGAACCTCCATCAAACTCGCTTCCCACTCCCAAGGGAAAAACCCAGAAAGTTGTGATTCCTCCGCAGCTCATCACTGCATACTCCGTACGTACGTACTGAAGATCTTACCCGTCATACTATGCTACGAGTACCCCCAATATGTCTAATAGTGCTTCCCTCTAGAACTTTATGGCTGAGCTTTCTATCTGTTGCGATTCTAGAAAGTCAGGAAAGCCCGACCCTCGTCCGCCCGGCGCCCAATCACTTTCCCTCGAATAAAACAGCATACCGTCCTTCAAACAAGCATGCCAAACTTTTAAAGACAAAGATGTCATCGAAACATCCGTCCAACCAGCCGGGTCCTATCGCCCCCTCGAACAAGCCACAAAACAAGACTAGCACCCGCTTAGAACTGCCGTCGACGAAACTGCTTCTCGGTCCGAAAGCCAAGTCCTTGAAAATGTGTTCCCACAGCTTCATTCAAGAACCGAGCCCCCCCAAGCTTTCACTTCCGCAGTTCGCGGGACTCGATGGCCTTTTGAGCACCGAACCCCGTCTCCTCAACACGAGTCTCGAAGTTCTTTTCCCTATCCACTGCTTCAGATTGGTCCAAAATCAATGTATCGCTGGAAAAAAAGCCACGGGGTCCTCTCCCGAGCTTCCCGCATCGGCCTCCATCACCGCCGCTGCCGCCGCTGCCGCCGCGTCTTCCACCTCCGCTTTGGACACCGAACCTTTGGTGGCGACGTACTCACGTATCCCTCCGGCACCCCCCCTCCCACGGCCCTCAGTGACAGCACCCAAATTTTCTTCCGCCTCGAACCACGCAAAAACATCTTCGGGGGGAGAACCGTCGCCGCCACCGCCGCCACCGCCGCCACCGCCGCCACCGCCTTCGCTGCCGGCGTCATGGGAGCCGGTGAAGACGCTCGACTCTATACCCCTGAGAGTCCGTCCCTGCTCCTCGTCCTCCTCCCCCTGCTCCTCCTCCGCCGCTGCCGCCGCGGCTTCCACCTCCGCTTTGGACACTGAACCTTCGGTGGCGACGCCCTCACGTATCCCTCCGGCACCCCCGCTCCCAGGGCCCTCAGTGACAGCACCCAAATTTTCTTCTGCCTCGGACCACGCAAAATCATCTTCGGGAGGAGAACCGTCGCCGCCACCGCCGCCACCGCCGCCACCGCTTTCGCTGCCGGCGTCATGGGAACCGGTGAAGACACTCGACTCTTCACCCCCGAAAGTCCGTCCCTGCTCCTCGTCCTCCTCCCCCTCCTCCTCGAGCCTGCTTCCTCCTCCCGTGGCTCGCCAGGCTGCCGCCGCTGCCGCCGCCGCTTCCTCCGAGAGCGCGGCGCGCTCATCCAGGGCCTCGAAGAGAGAAGCCTCTTATGACGACCAATACTCAGACACGGACGACCACGGGGACGGTGATTTTGACGATGGGACGTCGGCACGACCCGCCGACGCGGAGGACGTAGTTGTTATTGGTTCGATGTCCCATTCCCCATCCCCGGCCCCCGCGCCCCCGGCTTGATCTTTCGTGACGGCAGCGGGGATGGGTTCGTGGGACGTTGACCACGAGGAGGCAAAATACTCGAAACTGCTCGACAGCCAAGAAGGAGAAGAGCGTGAAGACGTGTAGGACCGGCGCCCCTCCGGGACCGTTCTGCATCCTTCCCCCACCCCCTCCTTCTCCCGCAGTTTTTCCTGCTGCAGCTGCTGCTCCACCAGCATGTCTTGAAAGGCGTCCCCAATTTCCTGATCCATCTTGTGCCACAACGGCCTCGCGCTGCCCCACGTGTCGTCCAAGCCGAAAACAGCTGAGCCGCCGCCGCCGCCGCGGACGCCGCTGCCGCTGTCCTCGATCTGGAAGTGCTCGAGGAAAATGTGGAAGTCCCTTAGCCCCGTGTCCCCGCACAGTAGCACAATGAAGTGGCCGTTGAGGACGACGGACGGCGTGCTGGTCACGGCGGCCGTGAACTTGCTCCCGAGGTCTCCGAGTACGATCGGGTCAGGCAACGGGTCCCGCATGGCGCTGCAACGGAGGAGGAGAGCAAGAACGGAAGATGAAATGAGTAAATGAGGAAGATAAGCTCAAGAGCAGAAAAGAAACGAGCAAGTAGACTGCACGAGAAGCCCTGGCCTTCTGAGTTTCCCGCTTAAGCGCAGCGATCATGCCCGCTGCACAGGTAGCCCCCCTTCTGTCTCCACCGCGAATGGGGTGCATACTGGAACCACACAACACGTTTGAACAGATCGGCGCGAATGAACCCGAGACAGCCGGCGCCTACAACTTACCACAGCAGGCTGGCAACCAGGGCCAGACCCTAACCACAACGTACCTGTGGAAGATGTCTGCGGGAATGCTCGAGAAGGACAGAGGCCAGTCGCCAATTATATCTCGCGCCTCATCGACGGTGAGGTCCATGCCTTGCTGGTCGTCATCGATGGCCTCCTGCCCGAGGAAAGTCAGGTCCACGAAGCCCTCAACGCCGCTAGACGTTTCGCTGGCGTAGGCCAAGATAACCTGCGCCGCCTATAATGTAGGAGAAGTTAACGGGGGACGTTTGTGTTGGAGAAAGAAACAGACGGCGCTGGCAGCGTGTGGCCCATGAAGAGCGGCCAGGTATCTCTCGAGTCTCCACACCAAGCTGGTTGACTTTGGAAAAAGAGATTGCCGTCCGCACGTTTGTCGTGTTCGTGTGAGTGCGTATGTAGTGGGATCTGAAGACGAGATGACTGTTTCAGATGCCCTGCACATAGGTATGGGTTTGGGCAGTACGACCAGAGAATGAATTGTGCGGAGCCAGCTGCTGTCAGCTGTCGTGTGCGTCCCTGCTCTTTCCCCTCAACCGGGTGTGAAAGGTAACAAGCATCTTAACATCAAGCACTACAGCCTCTACAACGACAACAAGGGCATACCACTTAGAGTTTCCTTCGAAGAAGCCCCTTCGCAGAGATTGTGCCTGGCGATACCCCAGCGAGCGATAGCGGCGGAACCACGATCGACACGCGCGCGACGGAGCTGTCCATGAGGCTGGGGGAGCAAAGCAAGGTGCTGTCGGCTGTCATGGGGAATCTGGGGCAACTTCAGATGCCGCCTGCCAGGGCGGCGGGGGCAGAAGAGGGGGAGTCAAGCGGCGCTGGCAACGCCGCAGGGCGCGGAGGAGCCGCGCCGGGCACATGGTTTGGGGTGCCATACGGTGGAGTCGGGGGAGTAGGTCCCCCGGGCCACCCGTCCGCTGCCCCCCCGCTGGGAAGCATTGCGCAGGGATTTCGAATGCACGGGGTGATGGACAAGATGTCATCGCTGCTGCAGGCAATGCCAGATTGCGGAAGCAGAGGGGGACCAGCCGGTGCTGGAAGACGCGCCGCATATTGCGGTGGGATTGTCGGAATTTCGCTGCCAGGCAGCTGCCTATCGGAGCTGTACGCTGCGGCTGGTGTTAGAACAGATGAGGCCTCTGGAAGGGAGAGCAGCAGTAGATCGGGCACGGAAAATGAACATGTGCGGGCGCTTGATGTCCCTGCAAATGGTGGGTTTGGTGGGTTCCAGACCATCGACTTTATCTGTGCGGTTGGCAGCTCTAGCAGAGGCGCTGCTGGAGGTAGGTTGACTGCCCCGGGCACACGAAACGAGGTGCCAGGAGGTGGAGTCTGGAGTATAATAATTCGGGGCCACACACATAAGCGACCTGTTGGGACCGGCCCAATGACAAGGCAGCAGAGGGGTGGTGGTGTCGGCTGTGGAATAGCGGGCGGCACAACACATGAGCCTCTTGATCGCGGGAAAAGTACTCGCTCCGGGAGAACTTGAGGATTAAAGTCATGGCGTTTCTGGTGAACGTGGAATTGCCGCAGAGGAGCAAGGGCGAGACCGCGAAATCTGCTGTGCTCTTGAACGAGGGCCAACAACAACACGGTGTTGCCGAGGGGCGCTTCTTTCTGGTTGAAAATCGTGGGTACAATTGAATGATTTTGCTTGTGACGAATGATATCGAAAGTATCTACAGGGGATTCGCGGTAAAGGGGTTTCCATTTTCTGATTTGATGTTCGTACAGTGATGGTAGCTTCGCCTACAATGATTCGACCGATGATGATCTTCGAAAGGGGATTCGCGGTTCAGGCGTTCCCACTTGAGTGTGGGTGTTTTGTTGAGCAACTGTAGTTCGTATTTTTCGATGGTTAAGTCCAGGCGTGTTTTCGCGGGTGTTTCGTATGACGATGGTAATTTGGCTCCGAAAACCAGTCACTCTATGATGGGGATTCGCGGCACAAGCGCTCCCATTTCATGATGTCCGCGGGCGATGAAAACTTTATCTGGGGTAGAATAAAAGGGGTACGCGGGACCAAGGGTATCAAAGGAGGGGATGCAGCGTAGGCGCTCCCCACAATCGATGAAAATTCATGAACAGAGGTAAACCAGTATCTAGGGTGTCGGTTGAACAGAAGGGGTACACAGGACCAGGTGTATCAAATGAGGGGATGCAGCACAAGTGCTCCCCGCCGTCGATGAAAGATTCACGCACAGAGCTAAACCAGTATCTAGCGTGTCGGCTGAAATGAAGGGGTACACAGGAGCAGGTGTATCAAAGCCGATTGAAAACTCACGCCCAGGGGTAAAACAGTATCCGGCGTGTCGGCCAGAAAAGGGGTACACAGGACCAGGTGTATCGAAGCCGATTGAAAACTCACGCCCAGGGGTAAAACAGTATCCGGCGTGTCGGCCAGAAAAGGGGTGCACGGGACCAGGTGTATCAAAGCCGATTGAAAACTCACGCCCAGGGGTAAAACAGTATCCAGTCTGTCGGCCAGAACAGGGGTATTAACCCTTTTGTGACGGAGCTACCCGCCGGCTCTTCCGGGGGTCAATCCGACCCTTCGGCCCCAACAGCCCGAAATTTCAACCAAGAACGCAAAAGAAAGACGCCAGAAGAAGGAGACATCCTCGAGCGCGACGGGCCCTACTTTCCACACATGTCTGCGCACAACTGCGTGACATTGCGCGCAGAGCATAGCCAACACACACAGCAGGACACGCGCGGTGTTCGCCGGGGCTGTTGTACAAGAGGATAACACACACAGATGATCAAACTGCTGTCTTCCTGCAAGCAACCATATATATGATCTGTTGTACCTGGTACTGAAAAAAAAGACAGCGTGCTGCTGTCACCAGGAAGACGCGCAGCGCACGCGCTCTCTCCCCTCTCTCTCCGTACTTCGAAGGCAAGCACCCTACCTCATTGCAGTGCTCTGTATGGCTGATGTCAATGCCCACCCAAAGCTGGAAAGGAAAACAACACCGAACACGGAGACATGGCACTGAGTGAAGCAGATGAGATATGGGTACCAAAAAAAACATGCTGCTGCTGCTGCTGCTTGCTGCTGCAAAGCAAGCTCTCAGCAGCACTCGCTCCTCTCTCTCTCTCTCTCTCTCTCTCGCTCTATCTTTCTCCGCACTTCGAAGGCGTACAACATCACAGCAGTGCCCTGTGTGGCTGATCTGAATGCCCACCCAAAGCTCGAAAGACACAGGGAACAAAAACCTTAGCTGATTGATGAAAAATCAAATGCGAGCGGGAAATACCGCACGCTGGGGCTGCAGGCACACAGCTCTAGGCAGCACAGCCGGCGACCTCTGTCACCGTGCTAGGGTTAGAAATGAGCATGGTTGATACTGCTGGTGTCGTTATATCCCTTGACGGCGTCCAACTTTGGCAACGTGCGTCCGTAAAAGGCGGCGGGAGGTCCGCGTGCACACGAAGGATTTGAGTGTAGAAACAAAGGACGGGTTTTCTACAATTGTCTTGAAAATGTATACCACCATCGACTAGGAAAATGTGTGGCTGGACTAGGTGACGATAACAGTGCTGGTTATACATGTATCGGCAAAAAAATCACATGATACTGTATCACCAAATGCGTCTTGTTTATAGTATAGGACGGCTATTCTGGGCTTGATTTCTCAGGACTTACAGGTCGTGCCGCACACTCGCCCACTTGCGCGCGGAAGCCCAGCATGGACGAACAAGAGACAGAGATAGGAGAGTACTGGCAGCATGCAGCGGCCGCCTACCACCCGGAAGACAACCCACACAACGTTTGGGATGTGTTGGTAACGATATCTGAACAAACTCCGGATCGTTTCCGGGAGGCAGTTGAAGCAGCGGCATCGGCCGTAGCTGCGCGCTATTGTCACCACGCGCACGCCCCCAGTGCGCTCCCGGACTTACGCAAACTCGCGGAGAGGCAAGCTGCCGCACGGCAACACGCCGGACTATGTGGGAAATACCAAGCGGAACGCATCGCCGGCGTCGATGTCGCCACCATGCAGGAGAGGGCCGGCGGCGCTCAACTCACGACCAAAAGGGCGAGGAACCAGGTAAGAGACGAGGAACATACAGTACATACATAATGTATAGAGTACTATGTAGTGGTCTTAGGGATGGTCAATCTGTATACAGCAGTAGAGTGTAGGCCGTGCTATGTATGTACCTCGACGTAGTCTGTAGTATTCGACATACATACGTAGTAGAGACTATGCGTATAATTGTATACTACTGCGGACATATCTTGAGACGACGGCTCAAGGAAGGTCGTAGTACATATATTACATGTAGTGCGAAACTCTGTGTAATAGAACACGTGCCTGGAGGGACATCATGCAGTGCCGGTGCAGTATTGGTAGAGTCTACGAAACGTAGGAACTGCTACAACAATATTGGTACGCGCCGCGTTCGCAATTGGTGGTTATTTTGCATCATATCGAGAGCAAAAGCACAAACGCCGTGCGCTCGTGGGTGGTGAAGGTTGAACAAGAAGTGCCCGCGGTATCATCTTTGTAGACACATGTTCACGAAACCTATGTGTATAAAGATTTTGCCGCCTTGACGCCGCCGATTGTTGTTCGCACAATCGCAGGCTTGCTACGACGCCGGCATAGCCCTCAATGCGCGAGGCCGCGGGGTGCAGCTTACAAGGAAGGAATGTTTCACCCAGGCTTGCCGCGCCGCCTGGCCGGGCGACCAGCCCCTTCCGAAGTCTGTTGTGGACGCTCTGTTGATGTAAAGGAGTCCTGGTTCGTTACGCTGGCAACGACAGCGAGTGGAGGGGAGAACAGGGGTGGTGGGTTGCGCATCACCCGTGTTTCGTGGTCACGTGTGTTTCGTAGAGACGCTGGCAGGCACGCTAGGGGGTGCTGGCTGGTTTTGGACGGCGGGATTTGCATCCGAATGTGGCTCGGGAGTGAAAGATGAGCAGTACCCACGTTATGTGTCGCGTTGTGTGTTCTTCATAGAAAATCTGTTCTGAATCGGTGCAGACGAGTTTGAGGAAGGCAATACAATAATGTTTGTCGCTTTGTTTCTTTGTGCCGGAACGAACGAAGAACCTGGCTGCCGATTCGTAAACGGTTTCGTTGCAGGCCGTGTGGAGCGTAACAAAATTCATCGTGGGCGTAGGAGCATGATGTACGGCATAAAAACTAATGGTGTTGTGTCTGGACGTTTGTTTGGAAGGGTTTGCTGTCTTAGCCGCAGGCAAGGGACCAGCGAAGTTGACCGAGGGCGGGGGAGGTAGTGCATGTACACGTCGCCCAAGTCATTATGAATTCTCCAAATTGTCACACCAGCGCTACTTGTGCACCGAAACAAGCACCGGCGGATCTGCGGGGGGCTGGGGTGCGATGTCGCTTGGTCGACCACTACTTCCCGTTGCCCAAGGCTTCGACTGGATCATTGAAATCCCAAGTTAAAAAAAAGGGCACGCTGCATCTGTACGCCCCTCTCTCCCCAACGCAGACACAAAAAAATTACCCCGGGGTCAATCTAGAACATCGAAATTCCATGTAAATAAAACACACCACGGCGCAACTGCCTTCCCCCCCCCCCCAGAAAAAAGTAGACCTGGGGCTTGTACGGCCCACCCACGCAAAGCCACACACGATCGAGCAATAATCCCTGTGGCGAGCCCTCCTAAGAAACCCCGAGCCATGCCATCTGCGACCTGCTCGGCAGCACATCGACCCCATGCCAGGTGGCTTCGGCCGCGGCCGCGTGTCTTTCCTTGTCCAAGAAGCACTTCTTGCACATCAATACCCCTGTCTGACCCTCCCAAGTGCAAAACTCTTCACATGTGCACCCTTTACTCGTTCGCGACTGGCATTCCGGGTTCATGCACTTTCGGGCAGACTTTAGCACGACGCTACCCCACACCGCTTTCGTAGGCAATGGCTCGTCCGACGACCGGGGGGCTCTGCCACCTTTCCTGCGCTTTCCCACGTTACACCATTTCATGAGAATCTCAGACAGCTGTTCGTCCCAAACAGCCCTCTCTATCTTGCTCAGCCTCTCCAACTCGTTCTTTACCCCGGCCAACTCTTCCCACTCCTCCATATCGTCGGATGCCTCACGCTGAAGTTTGCGTTTCTGATGAGAGTCATGCTTGATGTGTTTGACAAAACAGCTGTAGTAGAATGATAGCATACACCATCAACCCCGTGGGCGCCGCGAAGCGCCGGAATCATGGGGGAGGGAGGAAGTTAGGTGCTCAGATCATCGATAGTTGTCCGTCGAGCGGGGAGAGGAGTAGGAGTAAATTTGCAACGGACTTTTGTTCGGGCTTTGTGGGAGTAAAATCGTGGCAGTGGCTGCAGACATTGTGGACTTTGTTGGGTACTAGGAAGAAGGTGATATTGTAACGTGGTGAGAAGGTCACCCGGATCGACTACGTTGTCGGAGTTATCCTGTTTGCGTCTTATCTTGCTTTTTCGGAGTACCATCCTTGGGAGGGAGGGGTTTCGACCCGGTGGCCGGGTTTCCCCTTAGGCTTTTATTGATTTGTTGCTTTTGCAGAAAAACCTGACTTGAGGTGGCGGGAACACGCATCTCACAGAGTGGTTAGTTACTTTTGCGTAAAGAACCAGGGAGGGTGTTCGTTCGTGTGAGTGCGTATGTAGTCGGATCTGTAGACGAGATGACTGTTTCAGGTGCCCTGCACATAGGTATGCGTTGGGTAGTACGACCAGAGAATGATTGTGCGGAGCTCCCACGCCAGCTGCTGTCAGCTGTCGTGTGCGTGGCACTCCCTGCTCTTTCCCCTCAACCGGGTGTGAGAGGAAACAAGCATCTTAACATCAAGCACTACAGTCTCTACAAAGACAACAAGGGCATACAACTTAGGGTTGACGAATATGCCATGCCGCGATTAGTGCTTTGGTTGGCGTGGGAAAAGTGATTGCTGCCCGCACCCTTGTCACGCCAAGATTCGTGTTTTTTTTCCACGGGGCTACACGCACACTTACAACACGTACCTTTGCGGTAGAGAAGACGATCGGACCGTCGGACACCGGCAGAATGTGGAGCACGAAGTCCACGCGGTTCCGCTGGTCGCTGGCAGCCCTCTTGAGTATCGGCCAGGCCCTGGTGCTCTTCTCGTTACCGAGGTCGAGGAAGACGTCCACCTTCACCTGGTGTACGCACACGGAAGCCCGAACGCACTCGAGTTTCAGCAGCGTTTCGAAGCGTGCACACTAGTCTAAACAAGACGAGGGGTTGGTCAAGAAACGAGGACAAGGAATAGAGGGCTTGGGACGCCGTCGGCGATTGGTGTTCGTGCAACCCATGCATATATGTTTAATGGTACCTATTCTCTGTCTTGTTTGCTTCTCTGGAGGAAATATTACCGCGTCCGGGTGACCAGGTTGCATCAAAAGAAAACGCTGATGCATGGGTGGGCGCTTCTCCCGGTGAAATCCCGAGGGAGAGTGTTCGGCCCCACATTTATGGCCTTGCGCTTGCTTAGAAGAACTTCTGGTTTTCGTTGCATGCTACTGCCGTAGCTCACAGACGTTCGGACCTTGCTCCAAAAGAGTTTAGATGATCCTTTTTTCTCAACAGAATTTTGTCCGTTACTGCTGTAGGCTGTAGGCTTCACAGGACAATGCCTGGTGCCCACGGAGATCCATGAAATTCCATGGCCCGTTCCATGTTCCACGGAGAATGTGATCGAAAGATAGATGTCAACGCAATGTCGCTAAAGTTTGCACACGCGTATCGTCTTGTCGATAGGCTCTGGTCGTTGCCAATACATACAGCGGTGCGGGCCCGCAGATACGAAACGACGACAGTATCAGGTAAGAACCATCAATTTCTTCCCATACTTCAGCAGGTGATTGGGGAGTGTTAATCATTTTACGTTCCATAATACTGCTGTAGGATCCTCAGCCGAGCTATGTTCTTCCTGCCTTTGCTTCTGAACGAAACAATACGGCGGGCCCGCATCTAACGATCGCACACAGCAGTAATAGCTGTTAACAACGAGGCGGCAACTGACTCGTGTACATAGTGCAGCACATGCTGTCAATATTCTCCAAGCAAGGGTGCATTCCTCCGGTTGGTGATAGAATTGTTGTTGTTGTTGTTGACTTCACATTAAACCGTATGCCAGTTGCTAAATGCCAAAATCTAGCAAAGACTCTCGGCCCGTGGTCACGAAAGTGCT